TTTTTATTCTAGAATTTCAGTTGATTTCAGAGTTTCATTTTCATTTTTGAACATTCCACCATTTTACCCATTATTTTCCTTTTCCTGTAAATTCTTTAACAGTCACAGTAGTTGTTCTAAAAGCTTTAGCTGATAACTCTACTAACTAGGATTTGCTGATCTGCTAACACAGGAGGTTTTTCTTTTGATTATTCTTTTATTTTCCTTGCTTTTTTGTACCTCATAATTTTACAATCTAACCACTGTATAAAAAGTAATAGAATCGGAAATAGATTATGCTGATTTCTAACTGAAAGCAGAAGTTCCTCACGTGTCTCAAATTACAAATAATGGAAGTTGGTGGGACAATTGTGTTTTCCACTGTGCCACCATTCCAGCGCCTGATACCCAAAAGCCTCCATGCCCTAGTGACACCAGTACTGAGGATGATCTGTCTGCTTGGGGAGTGATACCAGAATCAGCACCCAAGGACGTGTGCAACGGGAGAATCAGTGAGCCAACCACTCTATAGCAGAGACCTCCTGGAAAAGCTATGCTTTCTGAAGCAACAAGTTTTTTTTTTTCCCATTAACTAGAAATTCCCAAGCTGTGTTCAAAATTCAACACTTGAAACTGTTAGGAAATATGTCCGTCATGTGTCTGGCTGGCATTTTGCAATCCACATATGAAAACACATGCTTCAGAATAGCTCTTTTATGGTATTGCTGTGTGTTCCTACACTTTACAAGAGTCCCTATATGCAAACAGCTCATTGGTGATTGTAAATGCCTTTCACCTGCTCTTAAAAGTGCTGCTGTTGTGTTTGGCTGCCAGGAAATAAACTTACTTCTCTTAGCAATTGAAAGAAGACCCAACTGGCTGCCTTCGTTTTTAAAAGAATTTGTTGAGAAATACATCCTTACCAAAGTTTATATAAAGAAAGTAAAGTACAATGGACCAAGGACAACTGATTCTGGGGAACTGTAGAAACACTTCATTGTTTGAGAGCTGTAATCCCAGGACTTTTATGGAAAGGACAGAAGAGCAGAAAGGAACTCTTCCTTCCAAAAATTCATCTGTCATCTCATACTGACATATAGACTTCCAGCATATAAAAGTCAGTTCTGTTCTTTTTTTTTTCTTCCCATTGTTTCTTAATCTCAAGAGCTATAAATACATGTATAGAGTTTATGATTTCTCATATTCCTTCGATAGATTCAGCTATTTCAATTAAAAAAACATAATTTTAAAAGAACTGAAAATTATCTTTATTTATCTTTTGGGTTGTTCATATAAGGAAAACCATGTGATATTTAATTGTCTGCGTCTGCTTTATTTCACTTAACATTATGGTCTTGAGGTACATCCATTTTCCTACAAATGACTCAGGTTTATCCTTCTTTATGGCAGAATCATGCTCCATTTTGTAATTGTACTCCATTTGTCTGTTCATCTGTTGACAACATCTAGGCTGCTTCCAAGATTTAGCTATTATGAATTGCACTGTTATGGACCTGAGCATGTGTGCATCACTGTAACTTGATGTCTTCACACCTTTTAGAAAGATACCTGGAAGGGGAGTAGCTGGGTCAAATGGAATTTCTGGTTTCAGTTTTTGAGGAACCTCTACACTGATGTCCACACTGATTTCCATAATGGTGGTACTAGTTTACATTCTCACCAACAGTGTAAAAGATAGATAGTAGGAAGCTAAATCTATCTCAAAGGAGAAGGGAATCAAGAAATGAAGGGAAGACAGGGATCGGGGATGAAAACCAGAATTAAGATGTGTTACGCACATGCACGAACTCCACATGAGGAAGGTAAATGTTAAGTACTGCACACAGGTACAGAAAAAGAAGAAGAGGAGGAGGAGGAGGCGGAGGTGGAGGCAGAGGAAGAGGAAGAAGAAGGGAATCAAGAGAAGGAGGAGTCAGAGGGAGGGAAGGAAGAAAGGAATTATGATGTATTATATACATGTGCCAAAAAAACCTGAAAATTCTACACTCATTATATCATATTTGCCATTGTCTTAGGCCTGTGAGTTTTTATTTTGATTTTCGTACAAATGTTTATATCTTAAATAATTCAAGAAAAATTAACCTAACACAGTAATGCATATTTAAAATCTGTCATCTTGCTTTGACATACAATAAAAATAGTAATAACTTTATTTAGCCTTCAAATGGAAAGTAGCAGAGAAAAGAAAACAGAATTCTGCTTGCAACGAACACCTGGCATTTGGGCGTTAAGAACAGGGTGTGCACTCTTGCCAAATGGGGTTAACACTTGGGATGCTGAGCTGTTTCACTCAAGGGAAGAGATTGTCTAGTGGCTTATGTCTTTAAGAAGCCCTCTTTCGCTCTTGTTCCATTGATTCCTTCCATAGCAAACTATAGATATATTAAGAATACTGTTTTTCCTCTGCCAAACCTGATAGGATTGGGGATCTGCTTTCTAGTATTTCCTGCTCCCGTGCCATACTCAATAGACTTTGAGAGCCAGAATAGGTCACATTCCTTTCAATACTTCATTTTTCACTCTATTTCATTCTTTCACGTCTTCATTCTTCTCATGCACCCTCCCTTGGGACACTGTGCTGACCACAGACTCAGTAGTAATGTCCTATTTTCTATTCCCTTGAAATCACATATTATAATACCACCAATCTTGATAAATATTTTACCAATAGTATTTTGCTGAAGTAATGACAGGCTTAATGATGCTCATAGATATTAGAGATTTTAAGTTTAAATGAATTAAAATTGTCATACTGATTAAAGGAATGCAGCATACAAAAATAGTATGACAGGGCCGGGGATTTAGCTCAGTGGTTCCAGTGCCTGCCTCGCAAGCATAAGGGCCAGAGTTCAATCCCCTGTACCAAAAAAAAGAAAAAAAATGTATGACAAAATCAAATACTGTAATTTTTATGCCAAAAAATAAAAAAGACAAAAGTTTAACTCTAAATCTTTTATCCTTCTTTGACTTCTGCTTTTATGATGCCTCCACTGGGAGCTACATAAACTTAGACTATTTTACCTTAAAGATAAATTGTACGAAGTTTGTACTATAAACTCAAGTAAATCTAAGAGGAGTTACTTTACCAGAATGTACTATACCAGGGAAGAGTTGTCAAAGTTTGTATGGTGTCAAAAGTATGTTTATAATATTGTATGTAACTGTTTTTTATGAGTTGGATTTTCTATTACGCAAGTAATAATGCAGTCTTTTTTTCTGATGCGCCATAAAATACAAGCCCTGCTGAAGTATTTGTCTCTGCTAAGTCGTCACTACTGACATAGAAGCACACACGTGTAAACTCTGTGTCACTGGTACAGAGAGGGACTTGGTGATTTTTTGTTGAATGCTTTAAATCTTGCAGTGTCATGTGTATGGTACCCTACAGCTTCCATATCTTTACTTAATTTAGCTCATTTAATCGTTATATCATTCATTTAATTGTTACATCAGAATGAATGTTGTGTCTGTAGCTAGGACAGGAACAGATCTCAAAGTCTAATAGTCCACTGGTTTTTTTTTCAATACCAACCACCTCAGTCAATTAATTCTTATTATAATTGTTGTGGGCCAGTCACGTATTTTATTGAACCCTTATAGAATCCCTATGTTGTACTAGTTCTATTAATATTTCTGTTTTAGAGATTGAGAAGCTGAGGCATAGCAAAGCTAGCTAAGTTAAAGTGAGGCCACACAGTTCTAAGTGTCAGTGTAGACACTAAGATGTGGGCCCAAGCAGTGTGATCGCACAGCCAGAGCACTCTGTTGGCCTAATCACTCCCCCAGAGGTTGTCCGTGTCTTTACATGAGCCAAATTAGCTATGCGGTGCTTTTTTAATGACTTCATTAAATTACTTGCTATTATTATAAAAGGCGCGTGTTGAATGTTCTTCTAAATTTATAAGGCAGGGGTGATTGTTTTATAGGTATGGGTAAAGAGATATACAGGAGAAGAAGGAAGACAGAGTGAGAGATGGACAATGTGTTAGTCAAATAAGCTACCGAGATCCTAAGAAAGGCAGATTGGCATCATTGTTTTACAGAGTAAGGCACCTCCTAGATATGAGGAATGAGTCTGAAAACAGTGTGTGCAAGGCACCTGGACGTTTGTGCAGTTGGGATGGACCAACTGCCTTGTATAAGGGCCTGCAGTCAAAGGAGCGACTAGATGAGATGATCATTGGAATTCAGCGGTGTGGCTTTGTCATGCATATGCCAACCAACTAGATTAGTATAAATGTTTGGTGGTTCTAGGATGAAAACCCGGTCTTTAACTTAAGCTTTCCTCCACTACTTGGTAAGGAACTCACCCCACTGTGACAACTCTGGAATTTACCACAGCTAACTGATACATTAAGCCAGCCCTTGCTTCTTCGGGAGTGGGTCCCTGGAGATAATTCCTCTCCCAGGAAGCTGCAGTAGGCGAGAATATGAGGATTTTCTACACAGGGTGACTGTGGTAAGATCACAGTTATTCTGAATCACAGCGGGGTGTGGTGGAGACACCTGCAATGCCAGCATCTGGGAAGCTAAGAGAGGACGATCACAAGTTTGAGCCCAACCGAGGCAACTTAGCAAGACCCTGTCTTAAATTTTAAAATTAAAAAATGGCTAAGGGTGCAGCTTAGCAAAGAGGACCTGAATTCAGACTCTAATAATGAAGTCAAAAAGGTGCAGAAACGTTAATATCACCCTTAACCTGCAAAACCAAAGCCTAAAGTCCATAGTGACAAAGTAAGGGACTGTTTTGCTGGCAGTTTGCTGGAGTGGTCCCAGGTATATTGCATCACTGCTGAATCTTTACTGCTGTGCTGGTTTTGTTCTATAGGTCAAATTATAAATTGCTTTTGGTCATGTACAGGAATTAAAATATATACCTGATATAAAATGTGCACTACCTTAACCTTTAATTCTACACTGATCATCACTGTGGTACTTCTGAAGGTCATTCTTGCACGTGCCCCAAATTCTCTTTCCTCACAGATTTTTTTTTTCCATAGAACAAATTGGCCAAGAAATGTTGGAAAACCTCAGTCATGACAGAGAAAAGATACAGCGAGCACGTGAAAGAGTAAGTACCAGTGACAGTCTTTCACATATTCAGTAAGTGAGCAGGCATAAAATAAAAGGTCTGTGGAATACACACAGACAATAACAATGACGTATGAGAGATACAAGTACGCGTGTGCAAACCCTGCTGGGGTGAACAAGGATGCTAAGACTGCAAAGAGGCAAAGAAAGGGTCGGCGATGACGAACAGAATCTGCCTGTGCCCACCCCGAGTGCCCACAAGTAGAAGTTTTACTTGGTTCTGCGGCTGAGAAGAAAGCCATTGAGGGAGATTTTGGAGTGTGCCAGCCATGCCAAGCAAGGACTCAAAAATACTAATGTCTCATCCTTCCTTGCTCCATTTCATTTCCATTTTCATGTTCAGGACTGACTTTGCGTATTTCTGCATTGGAGATCAATTGCCAGACATCTGTTGAACCTTGTCAGCCTGTGAGACGTTTGCTTTTATATCCAGTTCAAGTATCCATTTTAAAGCTCTTTGGATTACCTCCCACGTGTTATTTTCTGAATGTAAAATTTTCAGTTTATGCGAGTGTTGGAAATATATTTATGTTTGTGCATGTAAGCGTTTTGTTTGGATTTTCTGTCATGATATAAAATTGTTGCTTGCTGTGTGCTTTAGAAATAATCTAACTGCATGAAAGTTTATTTTTACCGTTCTTTTCTCCTCCTAGCTTCGGGAAACAGATGCAAACCTGGGGAAAAGCTCTAGGATTCTAACGGGGATGTTGCGAAGGTAAGAGCAAGGTAGGGACCAATCCTCTCTCTTTCCACTCTTTTTTTTTTAACTGTTTTTTTTTTTTCCATTCAGTTGCAACAGCAAATTGTACAGGCTTACAAGTTTCTGTTCTTTGTCCCCTACGTCAAGACCCTTTTGAAATAACAGAGCACTGATTTTAACTCTTGTTTGGATGGAGACAAATCCTGAGTAACTCCGATTAGAGAGAAGGCTGAGCTAGGAGGTTTACCTCAAGCTATGGGAGAATTAGGGTTAGACACGAGGTATTTTTCATAGCCTGGGGAAGGCCCCATGGCAGGAGCTGGCTGACTTTATTTTCTGTGTGGATAGAGGGAGCGCAGGCCTGCCCACGTCGGGAGTGCGCTTGGTGTCAGCTTTGCCCTCTGTTGCCACATTTTCATTTCACCAAGGGACGCTGTTTAGGGAAACATTTTCACTTGATGTCTATAGTTAAGATGATTTATAAAATGTCAAGATCACCTGAATGATTTAAATTCATATGTGCCAGCAAACAAACCTTTATATTTTATATATGTAAGTAAACTTTGATGGAAACTATTTGAGAGAATATAAAAAGATAACTGAATGAAGGTAGTTAATATTCTGTATAAATATATTTGGCACAGAATTATTTTATCCTCAGAATCTACTAAATAAGAGTATTTATCATCCAGCACGATGATGCCAGTTTGGAACTGGGGACAGAAGAGTGAATGAGAAATCTTGAAAATGGCCTCTGCAGAGCTTAATTGAATTTGAAAAAAGAAAATCTTTATAGTTGCCACTATAGAGACAACTATTTAAAAATAACCAAAGCCTTCTCTGATCCTAAACCCATACACAGGAACTTGCTAAAACTATGTTTGCTGTGCCAGAAATTTATTACATAAGAAGCAACTCAATGTATAATTATTCCATCTTCAAGGCTGACATGGTTCCTCTATCAGCCTGATCGCTAGTGAGCCTGAGGATGCTGCCAGCCAAAGATCTGACCTCCCCTCCTCTCCCTAGACACAGTGTCCCAACTCAGGACCATAAATCACCGAATTCTCTAATTAAGAGTGATATATAAATGACCTCGTAAAATCTCAGAATCCATAGAGAAGGGAACTGGCGATAGAAAGGAATGCTTCAATGCTAAAAGACAATAAAAAAAGAAAGGGGGAAAAAAACCTCTGTAGCATCTCAGGGAGGGTCCCTGAATGTGAGCTGTAACAAATAGTCTGCATATGTCTCCATTTTGCCAAATCTCATTAAAGAGTCCTCCTGCTTTATGTCAATTGAGCTGTCCAGAAATCATTCATCATTTTTAGTGTAAAAAAAATCATGTGGTTATTTCAATAATATCATATTAATGTTAAAGTTCAGCTGTCATTTAATGGTATGGCTTAATCAGATGTAGCATTTAGGAAAAATAGTTTATTCAGGCTCTACGTGGCTTTCAGGTTGGCAGATTCAAATAAGGATTTATGAGTTTCTAAACCAATGTATTTCTGCCCGTGTTTCTGCTTGATGTACCTCACCCTTCAGCACAGGACACTGCAGACAGTTATTTCAACAAATAAAGCATCCCCTCATATTGTGTTTGAATAAATTTGCAAGTCATTTGGTGGAGGAGAAGCACAAACAACTCTTGCCACCTTTGACTGGGCTTTCTGTAGGGAGATCGTACTAACACAGCTTCAGAAGCCTACAGAAGAAAATTACTCTGGTGAAATCTACTCTGGCTTCTCTTTGTAGGCAACTCATTCCGTCACCGACTTAACCCCTTTTAGGATTTTTGTAGCATTTAAACAGAAGTAAACAGCCCAGATGGACATCACCTTTTCCATCTGAGCTAAGGGAGCCCTTCCGTACACCTGTGTGTATATAAGTGACAGCATTTTTCACCGGGCACAGCTGGGGTGGCCAGGTGTTTCTGTCAGTGCCGTAACTTGACTGGGTCTCTGGGAACCGAATGCATAGCAGTGGTTTTGGTTTTGCTTCCAGTTACTGTCCTATGTGATAGTGTATTTTGAACTTGGAAAAACTGCAGAAAACCTTTTGCCAACTCCTTTACTGCATTATTTCAGGTTATTCCCTAGAAAGCATTCTCTGGAGAAATGGAATCAGGGTTTGTGTCTCAGAGTTTTTGATTAAATATTTTGATTTTGCATCCTCTATTATACCCGTGCTGTTCGCATGGCAGTCGTTCCTGGTACTGGTGAGGTTTTATTTCAGAAAGGGAAGCCAGGTTTCCTTACTCTTGTTTTTACCAAAACTACATAGGTCCGCTGCATGTCAACAGGTGATTCTGATTTAAGAAACAGTAAAATATTGAACCACATGCTCATCTGTCACCTTCACAAATATGTGAAAGAAACAAATGTCCTCTTTGTGCACTCTATTTACTTACCTACATACAATATGTCTGGAAGTCTATTTTCCTATGCTAAATGCTCTACAGTATATCAAACCAAGACATTTTATTTTTAAAAGAATATTATGGATTGTTTTTAGTTTTTCAGTGTTTATCAGTTTTATATTATAAAATGGACAGAAATGCCATGCCATAACCTCTCATACGGGAAATTGTGAAATGAAATCACATTCATCCTTGCCTTCAGAATGTTTCAATGTAATAGTACATGTGGGCATTAAAATATACTGTGGGAATTCACAGAATTAACTAGTTCTCAAGGAAACTATTATAGATTCTACAACTTTAATTAGTCCTTGTTGACCATTTGAAAGGACAACCAATAGACAACCAATAGACAATATGATTTAAATAGAAATAAAACCAATATTTGGGTTTCAGTTTGAAAAATAATGTGACTTATGGAATCATAACACGAAACAAGTTTTGAAAAAAACGAAAGTACACAGAAAATACCGAGACAGGCCTAGGTTAGTGAGATAGCAACTTATTCAGTCAAAAAGAATTTTTTTTTTTTTTTTTTTTTTTTTGTGAACGGTATTATAGCACCAAAAGAAAGAAGACAAAGGAGAAAACTGGCCAATTCAAAATCATAATAGTAAAACGTGACATCACAGTGAAGCCACAGCTGATTTTCTAGAAAGTAATTTTTCTTCTATCTCGACATATGAGAAGGAACTCCCGAGGGGAAAACCATTCATTCCCTGGCTCTGTAGACAGAGTTTACATCAAGTGGAATTCAGATAATAATGAAAATGGCCATGAAACAAATGAACATTTGTGTGGTAACTGGGGCCACAAGTGGATTTTTCAGTGACTTTCACACAATCTGATTGTTATACTTGGTTGTCTTAAAGTGCCATATGTATCACTGAGAGGCTTAAATTTTTCTCTTCATGTGTGTGTGTGTGTGTGTGTGTGTGTGTGTGTGTGTGTGTGTGTAGCAAGTGCTTCTTACATTCGAGCAGGAAGCCTTAGGTCTAAAAGTTCTAGTCATCAGTGGAAATGAAGTGAAGACTTAAGATTGTTTAGGAAGAAAAGAAATCATGATTCTATTTCCTTTCACTTCTGGTAATAATAGTTAATAATTAATTAGTAGTAGTACATTTTTCCCAGAAGTTTCTGAAGTGAGAGCCTCACTGACAAATTCAGAGGCCACCTTACAACTTTATGTGTCAACTACATTGCAAAGAGTTGGTGTGTATAATAGTTTTAAATACCTTTTTTTATATGTGACCTCAGTATCAAATCATTTCTTCTCTTCCCCACACTGCGTCTATTTTCCCCAACTGCTTTCACATACTGTTTCCTTCAGAAATGAATTCTGATCACCCTACCAGAGTGAGAATGGTATTCTTCACTCCCAGAGCTGTTCAGAGGTCGTCTGTAACTACCTAGAACATAAACCCAGCACCTATAGGAGGTGCGGCTGAGCTCACCCCCATAGTCCACGCCACTGTTTAATATGCATACTTCTGTTAGAGCTGCTTCTGAGTAATCCTGGGGAACAATTGCCACCTATCATTGCTATCGCATTTTACACTTCAGACGTGGCCTTGTTGCTTTGGTAACATGACAGGTAAAACATCTGGAAAACTTAAATGTACTGTCAGAGTAATTCCTAAGGGTAAATATGCCAGAAATACCTTCGTAAGATCTGTGAACTGTAGAAATACTTTTTAAATAAACAAACTTATCCCCCCCGAAATGAGGCTGTACTTTTTTATTTTAATGTAATACAAGTACATATTAATAAAGAAAACATAAAAAGCACTCTGCTTTGAAAAAGTAAAACAAAATTTCTTAATGAAATAGTTAGAAAATGTACAGGAAACAAAAAAATAGAAACATGAGAAAATAAAGCAACAAAATACTTCAAAAAATCCCCTCCTCCCCCAAAGAATAAGTCATGCAGACTTATTCTTAAATAATCCGTGATAGATGTTTAAGCTTCTTTAAATTTTTATCCTCCCGTTTTGATCAGAAAACTTTTTATTTTAATTGTTCATATTACAATGTCTAAAAGTCAAGGGAATTTTTAAGATTTATACAAAAAAAAGTCCTAGCAAAGCTTTGTTGTCAACTTTTATGCTTTGAAAAAGCCGTCTTCTCTCTCAGTGCCTTGAATTTATATTTTCATTTTTTTCTTTTTCATCTGTTTGTTTGATTTCTTTTCTCTATTTATCTCATTGCTTCTCCTTGGCTTCTGGTTACTCCTGATGAACAAGGAGTCTGACCTTAGATTAGTGTAACATGAGCTCTAAGCTATTTTTCAGCTTTTAACCAAATGCTTATTCATCCAGAATAAAATTATCAAATTATTAGATTATCTGAATGTAACAGATTTAGGATCCAAACTAGATTAATGCTGCAAGAAAATGTTTTGCACATCTTGGTTCTTTCTGTGTGACTAAATTTATTCCTGTATGCTCAGCTCACTTCCCTTACCCTGAGTCCTCTTCAAGACCAGTACTGGTGATGTGTACTTTTACCAAACTAACGAGTAGCTTTGTGTTTCCTTATTTATGTTTTTCTTTAATAACATTAAATCCAGACATTCCTCGTTTAACAACTGAAT